TTTATACAAGCTTACAGAATAATTAGTAATGGATGACAGAATATTATTAGTATTGCAAATAACTATCATCAGCATTATTGTCAACAAACCACATCCATTCCAAAATCAACAGTCATTAACAATCCTTAAACACAAAAGCATAACAAAAATAAGTTCTGAGCATTCAGATATCATTAACAATCCATCAGCAGTTAAAGTAAAATATTATCATAAGCATAAATAGCCTAGCATTATCAAAATTAAGTTCCTAAATTCAACTTTGACAAATATTTTGACCATGGTTCAGTCAGAACTGGGTGAATTGATAAAAATAAACATTGTAGCCCTTCTTTTTATAATTCTATTGGTCTAAGAATCACCTCATTTAGAGATGTTTAGAGAGAGATATGGTCAAAATACTAAAACATATACAAATGAAGCCATCGCCATACTTGCACGGATTTTCATCAAATGAGCCTTTTTCATCAATTTCCTACAAAAGCCATTAGAGAAATTAGCAATAACTACTATTAAAGAAATTTAAAACAAAACAACATAAAATTTAACTAAAATAACTTAAAATAATCACTTAATAAGTAATCAAACTTAAACTAGAAAAACACCTAAAATGCTAAAATTTGAACCTAAAATCTCAAAGATCTAGCTACTTAAGCCCCCAAAATGCATCAAAATAACTCTATATAATAGAGTTATCACTTCTATCCTAATTTATCTTCCCTAAATTCCTTCTACTTTCTCTCCCTAAGGTTGCTTCACCATAACCTCTCTCCCCCTTTTTGTCATTATCAAAAAAAATTGAATACCAAGGTGTAGACTTAAGATGAGTCTAAAGTAGTTGATTCATTTGTTCCATAATGCAGATTGAGGGGTTTTGGAGAAGACATAGGAGAGGCATTTTGTGATAAGGATTTAGCAGGGGATGTGTCTGAAACTTGTGTTGGATCCTAAGTGGAAGTTTTAGCTGAGGGTTTGGCTTTGCCAGCCAATCTAAAGGACTTTATCCTCTTGATGAACTTGTTCGTGGTGGCCATGGTTTTTTTACCTTTACCAGTTGGTTGGGATTTAGCTTTGGTGGATGCAGCCACTTGTCCTTGTTGTTTATCAGCAGGTTCACTTTCGTTGGAAGTGTGAACTGATTCAGGGGAATCCCTTACTGATGCTGACTTCTAAGCTTTTTTCTATGCTATTTCTCTTTCTGCTTGTTCTTCTCTAACCATCTGATGGAAGACATCCATGATTAAAATTCCTTCAGAGTTGGTAGGAGATGGTTTCTCTGCTTGCGATTCAATATTTGGTGGAGGAGTTATCATTAAAGGATCCAATTTTGTCAATCCCTTCATTAGATTCTTTTTCATTTCAAGTTTAGGGGTGGGTGATTTTTTCACAAGACTAGATTTTGGTGCATCACCTTCAGCTTGGAAATCAGAATTTTCACTAGCTTGTCTTGCTGGACCTAGAATTAGTGCTGTAAGATTATGTTCAGGTGTAGGACCAGAAGGTGATTTCCTTTTATCTTTCATCAAATTTCCCAACTCTTGCAGATTTTTTTCAATTTTCTCAATTCTTATAGAATGGTCAGTGAGTTTCCCATCAATTCTCACCAGTATGTTCAAAATCATTTCATTTGAAATATGTGAGGGAGTTGTCTTTGTCTAAACAAGGCTAGCTTGCTGATCCCTTTGAGTATCCTTGGAAAACTTGACAAACTTTTCTCCATACAAATTATACCTCATCTTTGGCAAGCTTCCCAGATAAATGGCCTGATCTTTGCTCTTCACCTAATCCATCTCATCTCTATTGGCCCAAATTCCCTTTTTCTTCACAAGGGATGTGATCAAATTTCCATAAGCCAAATCTACTTTGTCAACCCAACAAATTCCTTTCATTCTTTCTATCATGAATCTTCCTAATTTGAGAGGAGTCCCATCAAAAGCATGCTCCATAAGCCATATATCTTGAAGGCTTACATAGCTAAAGCTAACACTTCTTCCATGGATTGATGCAGCTACAAACTAGTGTAGGATCCTAATTTGTGGACTTTTAATAAGGCTTGCATAGCTTCTAGAAAAGTATCTGTCCTTTTTCCCTGTGATTATTTCCCATAGAGATGAGGGATCATAATCCTCAAGAATCTCATACTCTCCTTCATTGCGCTCTATATGGAGCAGATTTCCCAAATCAGTAGCTGTGAGCACAAATTTTTTTCCATTTAGAAAAACATTCAAACCATCTTCCACAAATCTTCAGGGTCATCAAGTTCAATCTCATCTAGTGCAATACTAGCATAGAATTCCTTTACAAGGCTAGCACTATAGGTTCTGTTCTTAAACACACTCAATTTCTTCAATTTTATTTCTTCAAAATAATCCAATAAACCCTTCTTAATTTCTAAAATTTCATTAAAGCTATCCCAATCAATGTATTTCCTATAAGAGATAGGAGCATTTTCAATTTTTTAAATCTATCCTCATGAATCTTATTTTTGAATTTCGAGGATAGAGGGTTGCCTATTGTAGAGAATTTTTCCTTTTCCTTCTCTTTCTCTGATATCTATTCTTTTTTTTTCTGTTTCTTCTCCGTTTTCTTAGTCACCAAAGCAGACTCATGTTTTTTCTTCTATTTTTGAATTTTAGATGATGGACTTTCTTTCATGGGCCATTTGCCCTTATTCTTCTCCAAGATATCTTGAAGTAGAGAGGATTTAGCCATCGAATTTGTTCAATTCAAATTTAAGGTTTTGAGAGTTTAAGGAGAAGAGGTTTTGGTTTTAAAGGATCGATTTCAGATGAGAGAGAATGACGAAAGAATAAGTTGAGAGAGATTATTGTAACGACCTTTTCCCTCGATTGCTACCGGCATTTGAGACTTGCATGTGGACT